GCACCTCAGAGGTCTGGGGCCTCAGAGGGGTACCTCTGAGCTTCTAATTTTTAATAATTTCAACTCTTCCTGTTTTTCCTCTCGGCCTTAGTGATGGTCACTGCTTTCTGCAGTTACTAACTCTCCATCCTTTAAAGTTCTCATTTTACTCTGTGTTCCCTAGTTAACTTATACAAAGTAGAAGTAAAATCTAAATGCAATCAGTTGAAAAAATCACCGACTTTCAAGTACATACCAAATTTAGAGAGAACCATTGAAATGAAATATTTATTAGAGCCCTAGGGGATTCCTTACTTGATTGTCCTTTGACCTCCTATCTCTCATTTCCTTTCAAGAGAATTGTGTCCAGTATTTAAAACCTGGGAAATATCAGACACTCATCCTTCGCTAACTAAAGACTCTGGGCTAAATGCTGAGCAAGAAAAGGCAACATTCCTCATTTCTCCTTCCTGCATACGCCACCAACCACTTTAAAATGTTATGTAATAATGTAGTTGCCAAATGGGAGCTAATTAAATCGACCTGGCTCTCTAGCCTTCTACTCTTAATATTCAGGCAGAGTGTGTGGATGAGCGGCCAGCAAGAGAGAGTGCTTAAAATTTTCATTTCCGACCCTGACCTACACCATTTCTCTCCTTTCAAGAAACATTACATCTAAATTATTAGAAGACAAATGGGTGTTATTATATTCTTACAGCAGTGTGGGGAAAGAGCTCCTACAGCCTCTGCTGATAACTCGTTTTCCCTGTAGCAACTTCTTTTTCATCAAGAACTTCTACATTATCCCCAACATAATTCTGCTAGTTTAATCCCATACTGCTGAATTTCACCCTCTCCCCACCTTGTTGAGACTGGAGAACAGCTTGTGAGCAATCTCTTGATAATAACCCTCCATATGTCTAAAACAGCCTTTTCTTTCCAAAGTAATTAATCCCCCTCCCCCGTGCCACTGCCTTTTTCTTACACTTTGTTGTATTTCCCAAGCTTTTACACACCTTTGCTTCCCTATGGATCCTCTTTTAGTAATTCCTATTTTTATGGGGAGATAATACCCTTGCAGAATTAACCAATACCAAGCATAGCATGTCACAGCCACTTCATGAGTAACTTCTGTACTCAGTATTGTATAATTCTATCTTCAGAGAGATTTCTAGGAGTGTAACTAGTAACTTCTGTTGTATTCTGCCGCAGCAGCCTATAGGGAAGCCATTTGATTTTTGTTAAATTCAGATTTAAGTAGAGTTTTCTTTAGAAGAAAATTCACGGTTTATTAGCTTTCCTATTGACTTTGTTCTTAACTTCAAATTAGGCTGGTTGGTGAACTTGTATAATATTAAGAGAGAGTGAAATTCAATAACCTAAAATCATTTGTCTTCTGCTATTTTCCTTTAAGGCTGCAGAAAAAATATCAGCTTATATATTTTTAAATTATCTGCATTAATTTATATCTTCTAAGTTATGAAATCAGCACCATTAGGGACAGATTATAGAGGTAAATGTATTCTTCAAGAGGAGTGAAAACATAGTTTGTGAGCAATGGAACAGTATTATTCTTTAACAATCAAAGAAATTCCCCAATTTGGCCTATCAAAGGTTCATGATCATTTCATGAGTCAGAGAAAATTCAAGAGGAAGAAAATTTGCTATTATTCTTGTTTAGTTTAAAGTTGGAACAAAAAGACGTGCAGTAAATCACTCTAAAGATGAAAGTTGACTGTGGGAGGACACCTTGGTCAAGTGTGTGCTGCTGCTTATGTAATGACTAAGACTGGACTCCAGAGCATTGCTAGATGCAATGAAAGATATGAAGATTGTCTGGCATCTCTTTGAGAACAGGGACTATGGAAATCCTTGGAAGCTGGTACAGTTCCTGGCATATAGTTATTAAAACCTCCAGATTTGCATTCAGTTTTAGCTTCTTTCAAGATACTTTAGGGCTTAAAACTTAATGATGGGGACTTGCTGGCTATTCTGTTTCCCTCTCTTGCCTGTCTTCTCCTCTTCCCCTAGACTTTCTGTTTCGCTTTATGTACTGCCGACTGCATCCTCTGGTCTTACAAGAAAACTCTGGTTGCCTTCAGCCATGACAGCCACCAGAGGAGATCAGAAAGCACGAGGAAAAAGAAGACAGAATATGAACTTCTTGATTCTTTCCTCAGCTGTTCCTTTGATGCATCTCTTCACAGCTGCAGAGACTACAGCTCCTGTTGAGTGGTCCTGGCTCCCTCCATGTGTCCTGCTTTCCCTAGTTTTAGTGACGCTATCTCCTCCTCCTTGCTCATTCAGGCTTAAGGGTAAGAATGACTTCCTGCTATCACTACTCTACAAATGTCTCAGTCTCTTTCCTTGGTCCTCTTGAACTTGCTCACAGATCTTCCACTAATGCCTGTACTATATTCTTGAACCATCTCAGTTGGATCCTGTTTCTAGCTGGATTCCTGACTAATACAGAGAAAATTTTAAGTAAAAAAAATATGTAAATAATTTAAAACTGTATTAAAGGTTATTAAGAAAAACTACAAGTATTTAGATAGAGAATAATGAGTGTGAGTTAGATAAAGTTTTCACAGATGGCCTCATTATAGGGTGATATTTAATTTGAAGGCAGAGGTTAAGTGGGAGGCAGCATGGAAAGCACAGGGAAGAGTGTTCCTGATAGAGAGAACAGCAAGTACAAGGGCCATGAGGTAGAAAAGAGCTTGAAATGCTCTGTGCCAGAATTTGGTCATAACACTCTATGAGGAACATTTGGTTAAAATATTCTACTGGGACAGACTGAGGGGAATACTCAGCTTGAGTGGCAACGTACTGATAGATATCTAGTGACAGATACTAAAATTCTTGGACAAAGGCCCACCAGAGAATCAAGCACTTGTTAAAGTGGGAAGTAGTTCAGGTGAGCTGTGGGAACTAAGCAGATGCTCAGATATTAATTTGAAATTGCTGTGATCATGTTGGGACAAAAATGATGATCTACTCCACGTGATAATGTGCTGTAAAGGAAGATGCTATTTCTGTGATCTTGTTTACTTTCATCAGAGTGGTAAGTTAGTCTTTATGTAGAGCTAGATCTCTTAATAACAGTGTTTTTTTCATAATGGTGACACTTCGTGGAAAGGATACCAAATGAGCAACAGAGGCATTCTTAACAGGCTGTGTGTCTTCTTTATCTCTTCTTTTATTTATTTATTTTTGGGGCAGGGCATGAGAGAGGGAGTAGCAAAGAAGGAGTAGAGAACTTAAAGAAACTAAAGTACTAAAGGAACATAATTTGACTGTTGAATCCTACCTGAATGAAAGGGACTTTAAGGATCAATTTACTAAGCATATTTCAAGACTTCCAAAAGTAAACACATCTAACTTATTAAATAAGTCTGCCTGGGGAAATATCCCATATTGTTTTTTTGTCTATAAATTCAGTTTTCTAATTTGTTTTACAATAGGACCTCTGTTTGTTTTCGGATTTAGTGCAAATTCTGGCATTCAAGAATTATTTAATTGCAGGATATACTAAAACCTTTGGCATCAAGCCAAGATATATTATTTTTGTATTTATCAGAATCGAGTTTCTTACTGTGGACAGTTTCAGGCACACTTGAGATCACAACATGGCAAAATGGTGAAAAACAAGACTTTTAAGGTATTATTTAATCTTGTGCATTTAACTAATACAGTGGTGCCTTGGGAGCAAAGGGGGATTGGTTCCAGGACCCCCCACAGATACCAAAATCCATGGATGCTGAAGTACCTTAGCCGGCCCTCCCTATCCAGGAGTATATAGAAGGTCAACTGTATCTTTAGGTTTGGAAGACTTCTTCAGATATCTGCCCAAATACCTCCCTAGATGAATTTTAAATTCTTGAAATGTATTTCTATTTATATGCATCTTTTGCTCAAAAGATGGGCCACGCAATAATTTATTTTCTTTTTGGTCTATTATGATCCTGCTTCTATTTAGGTTTAAGCAAAATTGCACATATACGTTATCTCAATCAGTCTTGAAATTAGAAAACATAGTATTTACTATGTTCATGCCCTAAACCCCCTCTTATTAGCTGAATTTTTCATATTTACTAATATTTTCCTCCCCCATAGGCTAAGCTTACTTTAAGCACATTTGTATAGCAGTTTTATCTCCAAGTACTTTATAGTTATGCTGTGGGAGTTAGCTCACCACAACTGAAGTCAAATGATTAGTAAATCTGATAGAGATGCATTCATGCAAATTATAATTATAGAGTCTAGAAAGGACCCCGAGGTCTTATCACCCTAAAAAACCAAAACAACAACACTCTGTTTAAAATAAATCATAATACTCTAATCAAATATAATCAAAATCCCACTCCTGCCTCTACGCCCAACACTCATATTGTAAACATCATTGACAAGTGATTATATATCACAGGATTTAAACCCTCAGAAATGGAATCATTAAGTATAGCAGACATTAGAGTGTGATATAAATCATCTTTCTGATTTGGGGGATGATTACATGTTGTACATATTGACAGCTGGTGCTACCATGTTATCATTTCAGGAGACACTGAAGTAATCAGTTCGCTCACTGTAACTATTGTTGTCATGACTTTTATACTGTTGTCTTATTATATCTTATCAGAATTTACATCTTATACATGGGGAGCAGTTAGCACCTTATCCTTTTATCATCTTTTTATTTACGTCATTGCTGAATGAAATTTAAGAATGATACTGAAATTTTATGACATGTAGGCAAAGAGATTTAAAGCTCTTCTTCTATTTAAAGAAGTTTCCTTTATGTTAAAATGGTAAAATTACATAAGTTATTGTTCATAGAAATGACTAGAAAGCTAATTATAATTGGTTACTTCATCAATTCCCATTTGCCCTTCTTTTAAAAAACGAATAGCCACCAAGGAGTTTCTGAGAAAATGACACCTAACAAAATAAGTGATCCAAAAATAAGATATGTCACATTTTAATAAACAATTGTGTCTAATTATGGAAGAATATGTACTTACTTGCCAAGTGCAAAGCACTCCATCTTAACAGTTGTTCCCTTAGCAGCTGTAACCATGAAAGGAAAATGGACCTCAATTTTCGGCTCATATTCTCCCATCACACCTGGGAAATAAGAATAATCTTTAAGCATAAAATGAATGTCACAATTTCTTTCCAATCCCGGAGATGTTACATTGAAAAGCACTGTGGTTCGATTGTTAATGTCCGTTTGATGACTGCTAAATTTTTGATGCATTGAAATAAGTACACTCAGACTTAATGATTATGATGAAGTCTTAGTCTTCCCTGAACGATTGGGTTGCATGTATGTTCAATACCATTTAAGACAAAAATTACTGAAAGTGTTAATTAACACTGGTAGTTTAGTTACTGATTATGTTCCAGAGGAAATAAATAACTATGAACATTTCCCATGGTAAATAATAGTGTTGATTCTTTTAAAAATAAGTATAGGTGTTGGAACTTTCTTTATCTTTGTCACGTGAATGAATATTTATTTATTAAGTCAACATTTATTTGTTGAATATCCATAATGTGTAAGCATTTTGCTAGGCATTGTGGGAGTTACAAAGATAAATCAGCCATGAACTGTTCTCTCAAGCACTCCACAAGTGTATTCTTAAAGGAAAAAACAACATATACCCAAGTGTGGGAGAAGAGCTATATATCAAAATAATCATAATGCAAGATAGGAAGTGATGGGTGTCATGAATGAGATATCTCTAAAGTATTGTGTGCATTTGAGGAGATTATAAGAATAGTTAGGATTTGGATAAGTAGGGAAAAGATAGGAGTGAAAGTAAATGGAACTGTAAGAACAAAGTCAAAGAGACAGGAAACCACCAGAAATAGGAATATCAGTTTTTCTGGCATGTTGGTATGTGAAGGGAAGTGATACTAGACAAATTTGTGAATATAAATGGAGTCCAAAAAAAGAGGGCTTTGATTATCAGAGTAAGACATTCAAACCTAAATCTGTAAGTAACTTGGAGCCATTGGGGTTTTGAATAGGGGACTGGCATTTTGCTGAGATGTATATACTGGAACTGGAGCAGAGACTGGTAAATCAATTACATTATTCAATAACCCAAGATAGAAGCAATAAAGGCCTGGACTTGAGTTACGGTAGTGAACAAAGAGAAAAGGCGCTAGATGGGAGAACCTACGAAGAATTGAATGTGTTACACAATGAGGGTGTTGGGGATAAGGGTGTGGACCTCATCAATAATAACATTAAGGTTTCCAGCTTGGGGGAGTTGGGCAATGTCAATGAACAGAACACAGCTACAGTAGGAAAGCTGATGACTTTCATTTTAGGAGTATTGAGTGTGATACCTATAGGATATTCAGAAGAAAGTGTCTGACCAGATAACGTAATGAGAGAATGAAGCTTGACATGTGTTCTGGGCATGTTGTACACACTTAGCATCCTAATTTAGAGGTGGCAGTTGAAGCCATGAGATTGGATAGGACTTTCACCTATCAAAATACAATGCACTAGCTGAGGCCTGGTGAATTCCATGGCTAGTGCCCTCAGGTAGCCCTGGAGCTAACTGTCTCCCAAAAATAATTTTTCGGAGATCCTTATGTGTAAAGCACGACAGAGGACATAGTTATCATTTAGCATAGACACTTGTCTGAGGAGCTTGTGTGTGTGTTTGGGGACATCTATGTTTATGCCCATGTTTGTACATATAAGTCTATGTGCGATTCCGTTGTGCATGCATATGTGATGAGAGAGAAGAGAAAGAAACCCAGATAGAATAAAATAAATGTTATAAGATATAAAGGCAAGATGCACTGTATGTGCAAAGGGAGAAAAGGTTACCTTTGGCAAAGAAAATCTTTCTGTGTTCATTTTTTGTTTGCTATTATTGATCTGAGCTGAGCCTTGAAGGAAGAATGCAGATAACTTTAGATGGAAAGTGTTTAAGTTCACTGAGAACATGAAGATCATCTTTCCTCTTTTTGCTAGTTTTTTGCAAAGCAATAATAGAGAAAATATTACTGATGTTTTCATCAAAGAGATTGGGGCTTCTGGACTTGGCTCTGTTAATGACTAGACTGTGCCATCTCTGACAGGTTGCAACCTCTGTGTCTCATTTTTCTAATCTATAAAGTGAGGGAATAGAAGAGAATTACCATTAATGTAATGTTTTGCTCTATCAAGCTAACTCCCTGGATTGCTTCCTAGTTTAATGCTTGCTGCACACAAAAAGTCTGACAAATGGCAAGCGAATTGAAAGGTTAGTACTGCTATATCACTCAAAACAGATGTTTAAGCACTTCGTCTCTATCTCTTTCTCAATAATGGTTTTTGCTTCTACTTCTTTTTTTGTTTCCTTCGCCTGCCCTCCCCCAACACTTTCCAACTTCTTTTCTTTTATGTCCTCGTGTCTTCTTTTTTCCCTCTGTCTCTCCTGAATAGCAGGATTTGGCCTGCTGGTGATACCTGGCTGAAGGTATCCAATGGAAGGTTCATCTTTAATGCCCTCTTGTAAGCCCCCATATGAGGACTCCCAGGCATCTGTTCAGTGGCTATCTTTGACTCCTCACCTGAAGCAGTCCCTAAAGTCAGCTTCCAATCTCCCCATCCACTCTTAACATTGATTCTCTAGTATTCTTGTTCCTTGTCTGCCTGTTAACATGATGGTTTAATAATAGATGATTTAGTATGATGCTTATTAAACTTAACACCCTTACTTCCACTGGTTCCTGTGAATGCTGGCAGTTGCTGAGTGCCGTGGAGTGTTGTAGAAGGGCAGTGACAGTCAAGCTGAATTTAGAAAATATTTCTATATAATTATTTCCAGGGCGTTGTTAGGTCTCAGAAGAAAGGAACTTGAATCTCCAAAGCTCCAGTAGCTTGTGTTGATTTCTTTTCCTATCCTAAATAAAAATTTCCTTTAGAATCCACTTTTATAGTAATGCTTTTGTATTCTTTTTATTAAAGAGCGTCCTACAATTGTACAACATTTCATGTCCTTTAAAACTTTGATCTGCCTCTGAATAATACCAAGGTATTACTGAAATTATTGGTGAATAGGAGCCAGATCCATATATTCTCTCTCGTGTCTTTCAGATAATGTTTGTGAATTGCAAAGAAGACATTCTTTTATAACTTTAATCTTTAAGACGGATTCAAATGATGGGCACTCCTGGTAGTATTTGGGAAGTAATTTTGTCTAGGTAGGGCCTCCTGGTGTTCCTCAAATGATTCCCATTTGGCCAAAGACACTATTAAGCCTCACTGCAGGGCCCAAGAAGTTTGTTAATATCTGAACTAGATATTAAAAATACAATGAAAAGCTTTGAATAAGAGGCTTCAAATTGTTTTACCTAGTTTGAGCTGTACTGTACTATAAGAAATAAATGGCATTTTACTTCGATAATGATGATATAAGACAGAAATCTCTTTAAATATGTCTCGCTCTTTAACAATTGATTACATTCAGGAATTAAGTTTTGTTTTATGTTTCATGGGATAATTTCATGTTAGAGCTAAAGTTCAACTTAGCTTATATAATATACCCTCTTCCTTTTAAAGATGAGAGAGCTAAGAGTCAAAGAAGACAGCTAATTGGCCCCAGGCCTTATGGAAAACTGTTGGTGGAAATGGGGCAAAAATAGGACTTTTCTGACCTTAAGTCCATACCTATTTTCTTGACATCACTCTGTTGAGGGATTTCAATCACAGAGTATAGGAGTCCATGCATACCACACAAGCTACATCAATTGTTGATTGTCTGTCATGGCTATTTGGTTTATTTCAGCTGCAGTTTTTAATATCTCAAGTCATATGCAGCTTAGCTTGTAATTTCTTTTGTTGGGTAGGGTATGATGATGAAAGGAAAGGGAAACAGTTATGTAAGACACATAAGTAAAGATCAAAATATTAGGCTTATCTCTTCAGTCAAGGTAACTCTTTTATTTTTTGATAGCCCCTAGTACTAACTTAAATATGCTCGAGACACCTCACTGTGTCTTCATGTCTTTCCCCCCACCTATCTCTTCTGGCTTAGCTGACTGCCCTACTTTGGAATTACATGCCATTAAAAGATGACCTCAAATTACTCTAATTCCTAATAACAGAAGCCTTCCAGCTGAGAGCATATTACTCTCTTTCTATGTCTTCATGGTTGTTGATTTTCTTATTTATTCCAATTACTTACAAAGAACTAGAGAGCTTTTCCATAAGTGGAATGCAATTTAGAGCAGTATTTTTCCAAGTATATTGCAGAACAGAGAGCCAATGACAATCAGAAAAATCGGGAAAACTTATTAAAATTTCAGGCTACAGCGTTCAACTCCAAGCCCGGTGATAAATAATCTTTGAAGGAGGGGCTACTGACTCTATTTTTTAATAATTTGTCTGGGTGATTTTATGTACATTAAAGAAATTCAAAGTTGGACCTGCCTTAATTCTGATTTTTATCATGTTATTTGTCCTTTTTAGTATTAGAATGTAGCAGACTAAAAATGCCTGAAAAAATGGCATACAGAGGGTCTATAATCTGCATTCATTGATGACTTGCACTAAAAGTAGGACAAATTATAATCAAATGTATGTATTAGTTCTCATACCAGAGCCAGATTTGTTTGCTTTTTTTTCTGATCATCTGGAGATCAGTTCTGATTGGTCACTGTCCATGTGATGACAGTTGTTACATATTTTAAATGACATTTCTGCCTGACACTCATGGCAATACTCATCTCTAGGGTTAATAATTCATGTCTAGTAAACCTTTAAAAATTGGCATAGCTAATGAGTTAAAAAGGTATGGCTGATCATTTTCTTGTGTACAAAGAATGTATATGATATTTTTGTCTTCAACATCTTTGCCAATTGTACTCCACATCTGTATCTTGTCTTTCAAGAATAGCGGCTTATATTCTCAGTGCTTCTTTTGGGAAATGTCTCTTCCATCTTCTCTAACCATGTGAGTTGAATCAGAGCCACTATCTTCCCATAGGTTCTGCCTTCCTGGCTGTGGTTGTTAACTTGTTATGGGCATCTGATCCAAGCTCGGCCAGTAGAATTGGAGTTGAAGATGTGATGGTGGAGGTTTAGTGACTCTCAGGTGGAAGGGAAAGTGTTATTA